TATTTCAATCAAATAAGTTTATTAAACCTGTCACAAGTATACTACTACTTTTTGAAAACTTTTCTGTATCTTCTGCTAACGTTACAACAAATTTTTTAAAATTCAGTTTCATTGAATAATTTACGATATGCATAAGTGTATTCAACATATATTAATAGTATACAGAGCTGTTTAGCTCGACGAGTTTTATAAGTATCAATAGCACTGGTAACAAAAAGAAAATCGGTTTAGCGAAAAATTCATTTAATTATATTTATATATGAAATTAATAAAAACATACTCTAGCTGTTTGAATATATGAAATATGATCATTTTGTTCATGCACATAATTAATAAGCTCTCGTTTAGCTTTGAAACGAATGTTTCGGCAAAGCTCCAGTACAAACATTTTGCACACGTAATCATGACATAGACGATGATGCTGTTATCAAACGAAGATTGAATAAAATGCTAAATAGTGAATGTGTCTTCTATTTGTTACTGTTTGTCAACGATTGACCGAAAAAAATTTACATTCAAAATGCTGTGACTGATATTTTATGTGATAGTGTTTGCCAAAAGATAAACGAAGAGAAAGGAAAGGCAAGAATTATTTAGGGTGAGGTGGCTGTGAGTGTGGATGTGTGGATTTGAATGTGGATGTGGTTGTAAAGAAGTAGAAGAGTCACACCTACATCGACATCCCACACTTAGACTGACACCCACTCCATCCACACAGCCACAGTCACACCACATCTCACATCGCACAGTCACGCCCATCCTTACACAAATAAAAGAGAAAAGTAAAGAATACTCTTCAATACCCAAAGTGAGTTTGTCAAAAAAATATGACAGTTTATGTTTCGTTTTCATACAAATATGACTTTAAAAACTTTTTCGTTCTGCCGTATTGCACAACTAGTTTTGCTCGATTTTGGTAGCATCCAATTGACAAGGTAAAACCCTTGGTGTTTTTTTTTTAAATCACGTTGTTTGAGTCAACGATGTGTCACGAAACAGAAAAATATTGTACAGGTGTACAGAACAGAAAAACCTATTGTACCTACAGTTTCATGAAAAATTTATTTATGATGTAATGAAATGTGAAATTGGAGACTTGGAAAAAAATCTGGTTTCGAAAATTGGAAAGACATTTAATTGAGCGAACATGATGTGCTCTATTGAATCGTATATACATAAGTAAAAAAAAATAGGTCTCCGGCGGTCGTTCTAACAAATATCGAAGAAGTTTTTTCTTGAAAGCTGATATCCTGAAATTGAAGGTATTATTTAAAGATGACTGTAAAATAAAACTACCATGATGATGATTTCATTCTGGCGTCAGGATTCATCAGATCTTTTGAAAAATGTCATTTATTTTATGCGAACGATAACTGAAACAATGTAATTCGTATAGAATAAAAGCAAGAAATATAATGTTCTATCTTCATGAGCCATTTATTGATAACAATATTTGGATTAGAATCAAACAGAAAAATGATATCAAATATAATAATCAACATTTTCGATAATGTACTTCGAAAATGGCATAATAACAATAATATAGAACTCAACAGTATCCTCCAAAACCAAATAGATTCAACAGAAACATGAAATAATTATGAATATGTTGATAAAATTCAAAGATATTGCTCAAGAAAAAATTCCGAAATTCAAGTTTTAAACTTGAAATATTTGCAATAACTATTGAAATACATTATCAAAAAACAAGAAAACATGATCAACTAATAAATAGATTCAAGTTGATCTATTCAAAGTATTAGAGTGCATATTTCTAACGAGAACACGATACAAATCACATAATATTATATTTGTTCTATTAGAAATGATGCTGTCGAATAAAATAAAATTGATTATATTTCAATGACATCAGTAGAATTCGATGTATATTGAAGCTCGGCCGGTCTTTGTAACTTATTGGTGATTATTAATATAATGCCTAAAACATGAATATTAGAAGACGAATGTGTAGAATATTTCTATATGTGATAATCGAAAAGAAACTTTCGGAACATTCTAAATTTTTTCTCTAGATCAATGTCCTAATAATTGAAACTGACTAAATTTTATTCTAGATTTTATATTCTATAGTCTGAAGATGCATAATGTCAAAGTTTTACTGTTTTAGCTTTATCAAACGTTTTGATGAAAAATTGTGTAGAAAACAGATTCGGAAAAGTCAGAATATTTCGTCATGAATATCGGTAACATTTCCAAAATCTAACGTTTCATAAACCTTCACATAGGTTACTGCGATAGAGTGAATGTGATGTGGTTCATTGAAAATAAAATTAAAACTATAAGTTTCAAGTAAATAGTTATCCGTAAAGTTTTAAAAATTTAAACAAAAAAAAATTTTAAACTTTTGAATAAGTTTCTAAAAAATAATTTGCATAACAATATAATTTGTCTTTAAATCGATAGAAGTAAATTGTCAAGAATTCGAATAAGGAAAATTTGTGATTTGAGATAGTCTTTTATTTGAATAATTCAAATTTAAAAATTTAAAGTTAAACTGTACAGTTTTTGAGTTTCGGTTTTATGTTTGCAAGGGAAACTGCATGATGAGGGATATACCTAATGAGAAAATAAGAGAATGCAAGAGTCTATGGTATGCACCTATAAGAAATGAGCGAATGACTCATTCTGTGTACATGATTTCCCGATTCATGAAAAAATGAATAATGATCATACTATAGTCCGAACAATCAAAAGTAGGAGTTGAGGGTATGTTCACATTAAGTTTTATTTTAATACTATACTAAGGAGTTATAGTGTGCTATTACATAGGAACATAGAACATGACTAGGAGTATCTGATAACATGAACCAATACAATATAGAACAAACACATCAAAAGAAAGAAGCAGAAAAAAGAAAGGTAATATATGCCCTGCCGGAATGAAATTCATGTTATATAAAACCGATGGTATAATATACATAAAAGTACTTAACAAAAGCCAATTATATGTCTATATAGCAGGGTGGACCTTGTCGTATTACGAGCTATATTCATCTTCAATTTTCTCTTGTTCTACATATTCATCCTCCATTTCACCCATAAAAGCACCAAGTTCATTCACCTGATCATTAATAATATCAGAGCTATTTATTGCTACAGTAGAAGGTTTGACTATTAATTTATCTATTGTACCATCAAGCTGAACATCTTCTTTAATATATCTATTAATAACACCATGTACATGTTCAATAACCTTCAAAATAAAGTCTGATGTAACACCAATATGTTTATCACCATCACCATAAAAACCTTGTAATGTAAGTTGTTTTAATTCTGACATAGAACAACCCAGCTTGAATTGACTTGCTACGTAGCGCTTCACATAAGCCCATACCAATTCTATTGGTTGAAATTGTGGCATACATGGAGGTGTATATATCAGCGTATATCCATGATATTCAAATTGCTTTTGTACTTCAGTTTTACCTAAATAACCAATATTTTGTAAATGACTTGTTAATGCGGTTTGTAATTCAAGTAATGTTGGTGCTCTACTACCACCATGCTTATTGAACGTACTACTGTCCATGCGTACTTTTCCTTCTCTTTCAACTTCTATACTGTCGATATTGTATGATAATAATTTTTCAACCACTTCGGCTTTATTCATTTTATAAGGATCAATATAGTCTGGTCCATGTGCATGATGATAAGAAGCATTATCTAATACTAAAATCATCTTCTTGGAGGGGAAAAGAAGTTGAAATGTAGGAAATAAATAATTATTCAACTATAAAAGGAAATTGGTACTATCCATATTTTTATGATAATCACCATTTGCTTTATCAGCACTCCATATCAATTCAGCTGTTTGTTCAGCACCGGCAGCACCTTTTTCATGACTATGATGTAATAAACCGTATTTGGTCATAGCATGTATAATAATCAGTCGAGCTCCTTTTCCAGTCCCTCGTATCAATTTATTACCAATTGGTTGACTTGCATCATACCAAGTACCATTTAATGCATGTCTCGTATTAACATAAGATTCATCCATATAAGCAATAACATTGTTACCATGTTCTTCAGCTTTTAATGCATTAGCATAATCAATAATAAATTGTCTTATACGTGGTCTTTTATCTTGTAATGGGTTACCACTAATTACATGACCACGACCAAATTGGTAACCTAAACGATGTAATGTATAAATTAACGTATTGCGACATATATCAATGTTAAACGTTAATTTTAAATGTTGTGCAACAGATGTTGTTGTACTACCGGTACCTTCTTGCTGTTCAGTTATAATAAACACACCAATTGATGATATATGTTCGGCAGAGAGATGATAAAATGTGTGCACATATGTTGGTGAACCATGACCACGATTAGCACTATCAATCTCAATGATTTCTCGATGTTCCAGAAAATGATTAATAAGTTGATATAATAATTGATGACCACGATGTAAACGTTTAGCGACATGTTCACATGCCTCTGTTTTGTTCATTCTTTCTTCAACCATTAAATCAAGTACAAATAATAATGCAAGTTTATTTTCTTCAAGACCATATGATCTTCCTGTTGGATTCAATAATTCAGAACGTAATCCTATTAGATGTTGACGAGCTTCATATGCACTCCATCGTGCACGTGATGCTGCAGTTTTATGTTCAGCTTTCAGTATTTTCTCCTGTTGCATTGTAGGTCTTCCAGCACCAAGTCTCTTTCCGCCATGACCACCACCACCAACAGATGAATCCTATATGTAATAATACAAGAAAGAAAGCATAATATAAAAAGTTATCCAGGAATATATTAGTGTATAGTCTCTTGTATACGTACCATATAAGAAATATATTAAACAAGCTACAATAAGCAAATGAAAATCAAACTGGTAATAGCCTATGAAAATCACTATACTTGAAATTATACGGCGATAGCGCACCAGTACACAGAGATGAAAATCTGAAATATACACTATAGATAGAGGACTACTAGAGCATTATAATGGTAGAGATATGACCAGTCTATATCAGTCTATAGTATATGAAAATCGAAAGAACATATCATCATGGAATGAAAATAAATACAAAAAAAAATCAAGTTTTTACTCCCACTTTTGATTGTTCGGACTATAATAATAAAAAAACAAATGCTTACGCATTCATTTTGTAACACATATTCGTCTAACGTGACGATAACTTCCTTTTTTTTTCACTTATACAAATTATTTCCAATTTTACTAATCGATAACAACACTCATGACGACATTTGGAAATTATGCTCAAACGTTTCAATTAGTATTTATACGTTTCTTCATATGCATTATTTCTTATACTTGACGCTAACATACGATGCAGAAGTAA